GGGGGTGTCCACTCGTTCAGGCCCCTCCTCTAGTCACCACTGCAGAGGTGTGCAGATAGATATTGAGAAGTTAATGGGAGAAAGAATATCTACAGTTTTTGTCTCTGAAAGTCAGTTAGGTATCTGTGTGTGCACAATGTAATTTTTTAAATAGTTGTGTCCTTTTATGTTGGGGTTTTACAGATTGTTCATAAGGTTTGTCTGTCAGGCCAGCCCTGCTTTTTTCTTACTGATAGGCAGAAGTAAAGGTTCCTGCACAAGTTAACTTTAGGTCTTGGATTCAAAGTCAGATGTCATAAGCAGCCACTAAAGAATCTGGCCATGGGATCAATAGGGCTCTTTCTCTCTGTGCCATGGGAAAACTGTGGGCTCAATCCTGGACTCTCTTTTGGGGGGTGCCCACCCACCTGAAGGCTTCCAGGCTAGACAGAGATGGTGCAACAGGGAAGAGAAGAAAGAAATGTGTAGCATCCCCAACACCTCCTTTTGCAAATGTCCCTGCACCGGTTTTAGTGCTAGTTCACTGTGCCAGTCAGGATGTGGCCCCATCTGGGCGGGGTGACCGCAGAGGGATTCCCGTGTCTGTATCGATTCCTAAATCACAGTATTTTCCTTTATACTGTGAATTTTCCACCAGTGGGTGTGGGAAACTGACGTCCTGCACCTTATGCTTGATACAGAGCTCTAGGGCTGTTCCGTGGAAGCAGCTTCTCTAGGTTTTTCAGTCCCTCTGCCACAAAGCCTGTCCTACTTGACTCTGCTTCTGCCGTCTCCCCTGACCTATTTTTTAAAGGATTTCTCTGGCGAGTGTGTTGAGAAGAGTGTCAGAAGGCAAAGGTGACAGCAGGAAAGCTACTTGGGAGGCTGTTGCAGTAAGCCAGTTGAAGTACAGTCGAGGTGGTGATAGTGCAAAATGTTTGCCTCTAGATAGAATTGTTGATAGAGCTGCTAGGACCTGGTGGATATTTGAATGGCAAATTAATAGATAAGGAATGACGCTAAAGATTTTTGACATAAACAAAATAATGGAGTCACCATTCACAAGATGAGAAATCAGGGATGAGGAGCATTTGGGGCTAAGGTATTCAGGAACATGGTTTGGGATGTGTTTAATATACCAAGTAAAATGTCAAGTCAGTAGTTGGATGCATATGTCTGCACTTCAACAGAGTTGTCAGTACATGGAAACTATTTAAAGGTATGAAATCAGGTAATTATTGTAGATAGGACTAAAAGACTAAAGGACTAATCCCAAAATGTAATGATTAGATGAAGAGGCAAGTGCACTGTAGTGATTAAATGACAGAATTCTTTACTTCCAAGTGGGAGAACTGGGTTTGATTCCTGACCAGAGCACATCATAGGCAGCCACTGTGTGTCTCTCATTGGTGGTTTGCATGTTGCTGTGATGTTGAACAGATTTAAGGAGCATCCAGACTAAAGTAGACTTGGAAGAAAGGACAGGTGATCCAAAAAAAATCAGTCCATGAAAGCCACATAAATCACAGTAGTTTAATCCCATTGTGCATGGGTTCACCATGAATTGGGGATTGGACTTAATGGCAGCTAGCAATGACCCATGAGGAGGAACCAGCAGAAGATGCTCAGAGAGGCTAGTGGAGTTAAACAGAGTCAAGAGATGTATACAGAAAACAAACACAAATTTTGAAATCTGAAGTAAGTTAATAAAGGCAGGGAAGGAGTTCTGGTAGCATAATGGTTACGAATCAGGCTTCTAACCTCAGGGTCAGCAGTTTGAAACAACCAGCTGTTCTGTGGGAGAAAGATGAGGCTTTCTGCTCCTGTAAAGATTTACAGCCTCGGAAACCCTGTGCAGGGTCTCTGTGAGTCAGAACGAACTCCACGGCACACAACAACAACAACATATGAACAATTGGATTTAGCAATATGTAGGTTATTAGTGTCCTCAACAAAAAATGTGACCATGGAATGTGGAAATGACAGTTTGGTTGGAATGGGTTTTCTTCATGGATGGAGAGACATGGAAGGAATTGAGTATCAAGAATTGGGGTGGGGGGATTTTTGCTATAAAGCAAAGAAATGGGACAGGAGATGGAAATTTTTACAAGTCAGAGAGAGTAGGTTGTGGTTGTTGTTGGAAATGGATGTTATAACAGATCAGAAAAATGAGTACTGTAGCAGTGAAAGAGGAACCAGCAGGAGTAATGTCCTTGGGTTAATGTAAAGAAACAGAATTAGGGCACAGAGGAAGGACTCGCTTTAGATGGGGCAAGGGCAGTTTACAGATAGAGAAGTAATTCTCTGGATAATGAAATGAGAAAGCATTAGAGTTCTCAGAGAGAATGATATAATTCTCAGTAACCTTCATAATCTGTTTGTTGTTCTTGTTGTTATGTGCCTTGGAGTCGGTTCCAAATCATAGCGACCCTGTACAGGGTTTCCAAGGCTATAAATCTTTACCAGAGCAGAAAGCCTCATCTTTCTCCCACTGAACAGCTGGTAGTTTCGAACTGCTGACCGTGAGATTAGCAGCCCAATTAGTAACCACTACGCTACCAGAGCTTCATTCATTTTCTTCATTTACCAATGGACGTATTCAGTTGCTAAAAAATATGTCCAAAAATAAACACTGAGAAAACAGTTCCCCTCAAAATAAAACAGGTGATAATTTCATATCCCAAAAAGTTTAAACAAAGCATTGTGTTTATCTCAGCAACTTCTTCAACCTTTATGTTAAATCAAGATCCCTGTGCTCTTATTGAAAGTTGTAGTTTTTCTTTTCTTATTTTTTACTTTGAAAATAAGGTTTCTATCACCTGAAATCAATTGTATGTGTACATTTAACCTTTGACAATTCACTCTATGGTTTATATTGTGTTCCTGTTAAATTTTGCAGAGTCATCACTTTAAAAATGACCATTCCTTGCCTTAACACTCCCTGAGATAATATTGAAAATCTATTTAACATCTTTAAGTCTCACCCCTTTATAACAGATTAAATCACACATTGGAATTCAGTGAAAACTTAAAGCAAAATATATGTCCAGACCTAGGAAGTTTTGGGTAGATATCTTGTAAACATTCAGAAAGTAAGTTTTATGTGCTGCATTTTTCCCTTGAAGAGGAGAGATAAAATATATTGGGGTATTTTCTGATAAATTTTATCATTGAATTTAGTAATTTTGTCTCATGTGTGTCTAACAGTTACTTCCTTTGTAACCATTTTCTTGTTGGTGTTGTTAAATGCTGTCAAGTCGGTTCTGACTCATAGTAACCCTGTATAGGGTTTCTGAGGAGCAACTGATGAATTTGAACTGATGAGCTTGTGGTTCCAAATCTCACAGTGCCACACCAGGACTCCTTATAACCATGTATATGCAATTAAATCAGTAAGGGGTTTTCCTTTTTCTTTACTCCACAGACATGAACGTATTCATACCAAGAAAGGTAATTTCAACAGATCTCCAATTTCCTGTGTGAAGGATGTAGATGATTTAGCAACCCTAGAAATGTTGGATGAGGTAAGAAATTCAGTTTAATTAAATTTAGACATTATGGACTTTTAAAAAACAACAAAAGTTGTGTGGGTAGAATATTGGGGTAGAATAAATATACTCTTAAGATAGCAAATATGGTTCTCATTTTTTCTTTATCCCTAGTGTTCTGATAGCTTCTCTCATATTTTCAGTTTTAATGAATGCAATTCAGATTTCCAGATCTCTCTAGTCTGTTGTCAATTCTTAATATTTTTTTTGTTATTTGTTTTTTGATGCTGAAACTACAAAGGCATGATCTTCCACTAACATGAGTCACTAGGTCACAGGCCCTTCTTCCCCTGAATTATAAGGCAGATTTACTGCATTCAGGAACCAGTTAGTCTCCTACACCCACCTTGTGACCTACTCCCTCTTTTTATCTCTGCTCTTCCAGCTCCCATTGTCCATACCCAGGGGTCTCTAAGAGACTCTATGAGTCCATCTGTTACCATGACCCATGGAAACTTTTATGAGATCAGACAGCCCGGCTCTTGTAGAACTTTCCTTTTAGGGCACTGAATTGTACCTAGAATATTTTCCCCAATATATTATGATCTCAGAAATATTTCAAAGATCTCCCTGAAGATATAAGTCCATACCATTGAATTACCAATTCAATATCTTTTCTATGCCTTGGATTGAATTGTATACCCTCAAAATAAGTGTCGGCTTGACTTGACCGTGATTCTCAATTCATTGACCATTATGTAATGATTGAATATGGCCGTTACGCTGTGATGCAGTCGTCCTCCATGATGGGATCAGCCAGTTATTATAAGGGTGGGATGCAAGACCTTTACTCCAGTCATGATCCTGATCCAAGGGAAAGGGAGTTTCCCTGGGGTATGGCCCGAATCACTTTTATCTTACAAGATAAAAGGAGAGACAAGCAAACAGAAAGGGAGGGCTCTCCAGCCACCAAGGTAGAAGAGCTAGGGGTAGACCATGTCCTGTGGACCCAGAGTTGCTGTGCTAGGAAATTCCTAAACCCAAGGAAAAACTGATGTTAAGAACCTTCCCTCAGAGGTGAAAGAGAAGTCTTTCCCTGGGGTTGTTATTAAGTACTATCAAGTCAGTTCTGGCTCATAGCGACCCTGTACAGGGTTTTCTAAGAGCAGATGGTGAGCTTGAATTGCTGACTTTGCAGTTCAAACTGACCTTGCTGTCTAGTGCTTATCCTTTCGTGACATACAAGAACTCTTTGAATTGAGATTTTTTTTAACTGTGAGAGAATAAATTTATGTTTGTTAAAGCCATCCATTTTTGATATTTCAACTATGGTAAGTACTAGAGAACTAAGACACCACTCATCCCTCTTTAATCCTAATAACCAAATATCTAAAGAAATAAACAGACCTTTTATCCTGCCTCATATCAGCATGTCATTTGTTAGGACTTCTGATATATGCCTGAGCATTTTGCTCAACAAATCAGGAGACACATCTGAACAGAAGTAGTTGTTTGGTATATTTAGGGTTCATAAACAATTTGACTACTTTCTTAAAATATTATCTCTTGGAAATACTAAATATCTTGAAATCAAATAACATTTGCAAGTCACGGATTGCTGGCACTTTAAAAACAAATTCTTACATACCAAAGTGTCCAATGATGTGAATTTCAACGCTAGTGACTTAAAAGGAAGGTTTCACAAATCATGTTGCTGACCTATGTATTGAAAACTGGAGTTGTATGTTTTACTGTCTGAGCTTTAGTTTTGTCACTTTTAGGATCCAAGATTTTTTGCTCCTTGCCTTGTGTCATGTGCTGTCATCATTTTATGTAGATCATCATTTATGACTTCTAACACTATTTAAATTGGTGCCATGGTATGATATATTGACTATGAAAGTTATTTTTCTGAATTTTTCAGTCTGCCTCTTAAAGCCAAATGTCTAAGTAAAAGGCTTGGATATTCCAGTGTCCTTGAATTACGTTGATTTGTAGTAAAGTTATATTCACTGTGTTTTCCCTTCCAATTTCTAGTGTTTTTTTCTCTTTACTTCATCTACTGCATTTACTTATTTCCTCAAAGCATTACATATATATATGTATATATAGTTGTTGTTGTTGTTGTTAAATGCCATCCAGTCGGCTCCAACTCAGAGCAACTCTGCATAGGTTTCTGAGGACTAACTGGTGGGTTTGAACCACTGACCTTTCAGTTAGTTCAAACTGACCTTGCAGTCTAGTGTTTTGTCCCACAGCACCACATGACTCCGTGTGTGTGTATATGTATGTGTGTATGTGCATATATTTATTTTTGTGTGTGTATATATGTATATAGATATATATATTTAGTTGTTGTTTATAAGTGTCATCTAGTCAGTTCCAACTCATAGCAACTCATAGGGTTTCCGAGAAGCAACTGGTGATTTTGAATCACCAGCCTTGTGGTTCAAACCAAACTTGAAGTTGACTGCTTATCCTACAGTGTCACACCAGTACTATATCTACCTCCCACATGTTGGGCTGCTAACCACAAGGTCAGCAGTTTGAATCCACTAGCCAGTCCACAGGAGAAAGATAAGACTTTCTACTCTCTTAAAGATTTGCAGCCTGGAAACCCTATACAGGGTCACTGTGATTCAGAACCTAATTGACAGTATGTAG